GAGGGGTAATACTACATATGAAAATAAGAAAAAAAGTTCCTAGGAACATGCCCTAAGATGCTTTTTTGTTTTGTGAGTAGATGGTAGTCAGAACTGTTACGATTTTTTTTACTATCACTATTCGCATTGGCATAAAAATGTATGCTAGAATACCAAATTTCAAGGAAAATAGTTTGCCACTGTTCTTGAAAATACATAAAATCTCTTATATTCATCTACCGTTTGAAGGGCTGTACCTAGCTTCTTCAGGGAGCATCTTAGGGCATATGTTCATAGGAACTTTCTTTCTTATTTTCATATGTAGTATCACCTACACTATTTTTTACACCCTGTATGAAAAGGATTACAGGAAAAACATTCGCTGTGCAAAAAAAGATGGGTACCAGGTGATTGTCTATAATTTGCACCCACACCTATCTCACCTGTTTGAAGAGATACCCAGAAATATCAAACGTGAAAGTTATAGGTAATGTCAGAAAGTTTTCAATGAAGTTAGTTACAAGTTTACAGAGTGTGTCTCAAAAGTGTGGCAAAGCAAAGTTATTTTTTTTTAAATGGAACACCCCGTATATTATTGACCTATTGGATTAGCCTTCCAAACCTGATTCCAAATATACTAAGTTTTTCTAGGTTTATTCCACTTAGTCCAGCCTCTGAATATCCCATTTTGAGGAAATAATCAGGCTTATGATTATCATTTTCTGTTATTTTAACAGCAACGTTAATTTGTCTGTCACTGTTTATTCTACACGTAAAAATACAGGCAGGAATAGATTTTGAGCTATAACACAACTTTTAAAATAACAGGAGAGAATACATCATAAGCCTGAATATATGGATTTTTTACTTGAATGATTACCTTTATATTTTGCCGGTGGTCTCTATACTTCACCATTTTCAATAAAAATGCAAATATTCTACTCCTTTTTCTCTTATTTTCTCCCGGACTATTGGGAATAAACATAAAAAACCTAAACTTTGTTTCACGAGGGTTCATACATTTGATATAATTTGCCTACCTCTTTTAACAAATAGAAATTGACTGAAACAAATCAATGACGTTGAAAACATTCGTCGGTTCTTAAAGCAGAAGTCATTCATTTTAATTTGTCAAAAAAATTGAATTTGTCATATGAATTAATCTAGGACAACATGACGACAACCCTTTTTTTTCAAGTTTCAAAGTACAGTATGAACCCTGGCGAAACAAACTGTAGTATATTGAATTTGGAATCAGGTTTGAAAGGCTAATACAATAGCTCAATAATATACAGGGTGTTCCATTGAGGACTTCGCAAGACCAAGACCAAGACCAAGACTGGCCAGTCTTGGTCTTGGTCTCGAAAAATAAATGCGGTCTTGGTATTGGTCTTGGTCTTGATGTTTCAAGACCAAGACAAGACTAGCTCAGTCTTGGTCGTGGTCTTGATAGTCTTGGTCTTGATAGTCTTGAAAAAAATTTATACCAAATTTTTAAAATATACATAACATGCAACGACAGAGCAGAGATAATGGGTTTAGGACTTCAAAAATAAAAAAATAAACTTCCCTTTTTGAAAAAATTATCCCGACGTTTCGACCATGTATTTGGTCTTCTTCACAGGCTATTTACCACCAAGAGCGTTTCATGTCAAAAACCGCATAAAGTATTCCACAACACAGAGGAACAAACAAACATCATTTCTTAAATTATAATTTTTATTACCGGAACAGGAAAGTTGACAAACACATCATAAAATGGCCATTCTGTACCGAGGAAAAAAATAAATTTCATTTTGAACCATAGATTAAACCTCGGATTAAACTCACCTTACCTACCTGAGCATTCAGGCCAGAGAAATATTTTCGAGAACCCTCATTGTAGCTGCTTACGAACTAGCAGTTTTCTGACCTAACTTAAAGAATCTAACTTAGTTGCGCTTACGATTTGTCACAACTAAGTTAGAATCTGCCCTTCCCCCTTGCCCCTGCTAAGACACCCGGAGTTTTGACTGAGATAACTTAGCTGACCTAAGTTGGCGTGAAATACGCATTTTTTTTAAAACTGACTTTGAAAGTTTCATATTTCATTTTGTGCAATGAATAATTAGTTTTATTAACACACTAAACACCTCTTCAAGTTTCCTTGTTCCAATTTTCTAATTTTCAACTAAAATAAACTAATATAACCTCAATTTAGAAAAGTTTACAAAAATACACGTACGATTAACAACTTAGCTCAGGTCAGAAACAAACTTTAACTTAGATAAGAAAAGTGCTAGTTCGTAAGCAGCTATAGTCACATACTTAATTTGAATTTTATTGGCCTATTCACAATAATTAGATTTGGGTTAGTTTGGGTGAGATGTGGGGTTTGTGTTAGTTTGGGTTAGTTAGTTAGTTAAGAATTATCTTTGGAAATTCCAATACTTTCTCTTTTCAAGACCAAGACCAAGACGAGAGTCTTGAGAGAGAGTCTTGGTCTTGGTCTTGATAGTGAAGTCTTGGTCTTGGTCTTGAGAAGATTTATCAGGTCTTGGTCTCGGTCTCGGTCTTGGTCTTGCTACCAAGACCAAGACATGACCAAGACTAGTCTTGTGGTCTCGCGAAGCCCTAGTTCCATTTAAAAAAGTTTAACTTTGGTTTGCCACACTTTTGTGACTCACCCTGTATACGTGTAACTAACTTCATTGAAAACTTTCTTATATCACCTACGACACCTACAACTTCCACATTTGACATTTCTGGGTATCTCTTCGAACATGTGGGATAGGTGTGGGTGCAAAATATAGACAATCACCCGGTACATCGACTACCGGTACATATTGAGTTCTTCTAACATGCTACAAACATCCTTATTGAACCTACTGTTATGGAACCTGGGGATTATTATCATTTTGCTTCTAGTCTTATCGCGGAGAATACTCTTGGATAAAGTAAGCTACAATCAAGTGAGAAATGCCATTGAAACATTTAGAAATAGAAATAGTCTAGATATCTATGAAAAATATATCTCTGATAAAATCTTTTAAAAATGTACTGAAAACTCCTTTTACTACGAGTTTTACTAGTACATATTTAATAATTAATATATGTATAATAATATAATATAATATAATATGAAGGGGGTGATTCGTCAGTTAGGACAAAAAATAAAATGCCTATTAAGTCTTTGCCAACGTTCCCCAACGTTGGCAAAGACTTAACAGGCCTTTTATTTTTTGTCCTAACCGACGAATCACCCCCTTCATTGAATATCGATAGGACACGAACTTCATTTAATCATAATACGATATGTATAAGGCAATATTTCCAGTTTACTTAAAAAGATCAAAAGTGGTACCAGTATTTAAAAAGGGGAATAAAAATGACATGACTAACTACAGGCCTAGGTATATCTTTGGTGCCTGTATTCTCTAAGATTTTTGGATGGAGTGTCTCAGAGCATGTAGTGCCGCAGGGCTCCGTCCTGGGCCCCTTATTGTTTCTTATTTACATAAATTACATTATTGCTGCTGTGCCAGATTCTGAAATTCTTTTGTTCGCCGATGACACTTCTGTTACTGACTGGTAGGAATCTTGATGTGGTAATGGATGAGAAAGTGAAAAATCTGAATGAATGGTTAAAGGCAAAAAAACTCACCTTAAATACTAGCAAAACAATTTGAATTACGTGAGATTGACTAGGGAAACTTTGAGGAGGTGAGGTTTTTGGGCATTTAACTTCATCCTACTCTAAAATTTGAAAAACACATAGATCACATGGCAAGTCGTTTAACGAAACACATTATTTCACTTGAAAGTCAAGATTCATGCTGCTTCAGACGTTTCAAGCTCTGTTTCAGTCTGTGGCTGTCTATGGGATTTTGACTTGGGAGCATTCGCACGTGCTGCCAGGATTTTTGCATTGCAACGAAGGGCTGTGCAGGTGGTTGAGGGTTTGAGATATCGGGATACTGTGACTATGCCGGACGATACATCTATGAATGGCTCTTGTATTGACATAAATCCAATCAGTATAATGCATGTAAGTTTTATCACCACCATCCTACACGGCACAGGAATTTTCTAAGACTCGACCATATGAAAATATGGTGCATGTCATTCAATTATTACGGGCCAACTTTCTTCAAAAATATATGTTGTTGAGGTTGATGTGACAGTTTTAATTTATCTATAAATCATATTTTTAATTTGTTAGTTTTAATCTTAGATTAGTTTTAATAATTTGTTAGTGAATTGCCCCGTTTAAAAAAAAAACCAGCTAGACGAGCGTAAAATTACTCTGTAATTCGATAACGTAATATTTAATTTAATTTGATTGGCTTATTATGTGAGAGAACCCCATCCTGTTGCCAAATCAACCTGTTCAAGTGAGCTGAAGGGATTTCTTCCAAATATCCTTCAATTTCGTTGGTAAGAAATTGTAGGTATCTCTGAAATATTTGACAAAATATGGCCATTGAATCTGAACTAAAAATATGCGTTACTTTTCGGAAGATGTGTGAAATCAATGACTGCATCGTGCCCAATTTGTGCTGAAATCAAGCCAATGTTTGTTAAAAAATACTGTAACTCTCATAAATACTGCTTATCCTTTTGAAAGAATGAGTATAGATTTTAAAGGTCCGTTTCTGTCTTCAACACAAAAAAGACATGTTTTTCCAATTATTGATGAACAGTCTTGTTCTCTCTTTGCAGAGAAGAGCTATAGGCAATTTGTTTTATATTCTCAGGATGCCCAAATTTATTTATGTACTCTTCATCCAATCCGTTCTCTATTGTGTACCGCTACTAATTGTACCTCTCATGAAGGCATGTATCTCCATGCAACAGAATCTACAACAATCAACTCTGAGCATACCCTGGTGCGAACGTTCTATGGTCAAAAAATATCTGTTTCTCTAAAGCACTCAGAACATCAACTTGTATGGTATAATAATTACCTAGAACTTTGTGAAGAAAATGAATATTTTTAAAAAAGGAACCAAGAAAATTTACTCTAGAATCCTTTTTTCTAGGTCCGAATAATGATTCCAAGCCTGTTCTGCGCCGAAACTGCACTCCTGACCGGCCATACGATGTTCCTCTTCCTCAGAACCTTCCTGAGTATATACGTAGCCAATCTAGAAGGGGCTATAGTTAAATTTATAGTGAAAAAGGACCCAAATAATTTCGTCAAGCAGCTGATGAAATGGTTTGCTGTAGCTGTTCCGGCTACGTTTATTAATAGTATGATTAGGTAAGGTTTATAAAGGTTTTGGGAGAATATTTGCTTAAAAATACTTATTTCAGATATTTAGAAAGCAAAATAGCCTTAAATTTCCGAACAAGACTGGTAGAACATTCTTATAAGCTCTATTTCAAGAACCAGAGCTATTATAGAGTGACTGTACTCGACGGCAGGTTAGATAATTGTGCGCAACGATTAACTGGTAAGGACTTTTATATAATTGACAGTTTTTTTTTTAAATCTAATTCGCATTGTAACAAATCTCAAATAAATGATATTTTTCTAGATGACATAGAAACAGTTGCAAACACAGTATCTCATCTATATGGACAAATAACGAAGCCATGTTTCGACATACTCCTGATGGCGATAGCTTTAGCCAATTTAGTCAAGGCCAGAAATTCCAATTTAATTGTCGGACCAATAATTATTAGTGGAGTCGTTGTAGTGTCGGCTTTAGTTTTAAGGTAAGAATTAGTTGACTGGTTGAAAAAAAGAATAAACATTTTAAAGGTCAGTTTTTTCATTAACAATCAACGTTAACGGTTCAAAATTGATTAATTTCGTTTAAATTATAAACAGGCAAAAAAACTTATTTCGAAATGTTTATATCGTAAAAGTGTCAAGAAATTATTTGTTGATAATAAATTAAATTGGGGTTTTTAAAAATGTGGTTCAAAGGACAGCAATTATGTGTCAACTGCAATAACAAATACATTATAAGCGTTCATAGATAGGGTCTGTTTTATACGGGGTGTCCGGAATAACTTGAAGTAGGTACATGGGGATTTTGGAAACCATTGAAGATACAAGGTGGACCAAATGGAGAAAAAGTTGAGCAATCAAGTGCCTACAAATAAGCTGTCATCAACTTCTTCGAACTTCTTGATTGTATCTTTTATAATAAACAAGATAATATGAACGATTTTCTAAAACGCACTTTTTTTTTGCCCTGTATATCCGTTGCAATTCCGAGCTCAAAGTAGTTGATGACAGATTATTTGTAGGCACTTGATTGCGCAACTTTTTTTCCATTTGTTCCACCCTATATCTTCAATGGTTTCCAAAATCCCCATGTACTTCAAGCTATACCGGAGACAGTGTAGACTAGTTTAGCTTCTTTTGAAGTGAAAAATGGAAGTAACTTGCTAGAAAGATGTATTGGCAGTAGGTTTAATATATGGGAGTTCGCCAATCTGATGTCCCTTAATTGGCTCTAGATATGATTGCGGGAAGATACCTCAAAAATATAACTAAAATAGTTGAAGCGAAAATGAATAGCTCTTAATCTCTGAGCTCTTAATGAAGAAACTGGCTTTTAAATTCTGCATAGAAAATAACAAAATTTTCTCATTAATCCCCTACTTTCTATTCTAGATTAGTTTCACCAAGATTCGGTCACTTGGTAGCCCAAGAAGCTGAAAAGAAAGGCTACTTAAGGCACGTCCATGGACGGATAGTATCAAACGCAGAAGAAATAGCCTTCTACAACGGTCACAAAGTGGAACAAAGCCATTTACGTAGCGCCTTTAGAATTTTGACTCAGCACTTGGAACACATGTTTGCTGTCAAGCTGTGGTTCGTTATGTTGGAGCAATTTTTAATGAAATACGTTTGGTCTGGAACTGGCATGATAGTAGTTTCACTTCCGGTGTTTTTACCAGAAGTTATTAAGCAAGTCAAGCCAAAAAAGAGCCTCTTGCCTCTACCAGTACTAACAGCCGATGAGAAAGCACCACAGGAAAGTCTGCAAGATTCCGTTTCGGAAAGAACGCATTATTTCACTACGGCGAAAAATTTGTTGCTGACAGGCTCTAATGCAGTGGAAAGGCTAATGAGCAGTTATAAGGATATTGTCGAATTAGCTGGTCATACTGCGCGTGTGGCAAACATGTTTTCCGTACTGGAAGAGGCCAGCGATGGAATTTATAATAAAACTGTGGTGGCCAAGAAGGAGAAAACTGGCGATTTTGAGGTTGAGTTCAAGGGAGATCAGCCAGTAGCCAAAGGTAAGAATGAAGATTTTTATGTAGTAATTTACCTCATAATTCTTGGAAGTGACTTATTATGTTCAGATGTTTATAGAATTTCTATTTCATGGATGTTTTTCTAATCGACAAAATATTTTAGGCAAAGTATACCCTTCAACCAATTACGAAATCGTCCTACAAAATGTACCAATTGTAACCCCCAACTGTGATGTAGTGTGTCCCTCTTTGAGCCTAGATTTGAAGCCTGGACAACATTTACTTATAACAGGTAAAAACATTTAACATTTATGATTTTTTTGGTGCTTAATCTATTATATTTAGGTCCAAACGGCTGTGGAAAATCAAGCTTATTCCGAATCCTAAGCGGTTTATGGCCAGTCTACGGTGGAGAATTGACCACTCCTAAAAACTCGATGTTCTACATTCCTCAAAGACCCTACATGGTCATTGGTAACTTGAGAGACCAAATCATCTACCCTGACACCTACGCCGATATGATCAACAAACAAATCACCGAAGAGGATTTGAGAAAGATTATGAGGATGGTGTATTTGGAGCATATTGTGGAAAGGGACACGTTCCACGAGGTTAAGGATTGGACGGATATTTTGTCCGGAGGAGAGAAACAAAGGATGGCGGTTGCCAGATTATTTTATCACAAGTGAGTAATTATTTCTTAGTAATTTTGGGAGTAGATTCAGTGCTCGAGTGCTAGTACTAAAATCCATTATATCACAAGGTAACATATAGTTGTAGAAAAAATAATTTCACCAAGAAGAGATCCAAGCATAGAAATCCTAATCACTGATAACCTATTTTTGCTGGTGAAAATACACCTGGGAAATCTGTCCCAAAGATTCATCTATCCGCCCAAGCAATAAGTCTCTAAAATGAGCCTTTTTAAAGTCAATGTAGACATTAATTCAAACTTTAAAGTTAGCCACAAGATTGGATAGCATAGAGCGGTCTTCCAGAAACCCATGTTGGTTTGCAAGACTCATTCTGTCCTGAATTATTCATAAAACTACTATGTAGATTGTTGACGTTGCATTTAGAATTGATGTTGGGCTAATCGGTTTATAGTTCTCAGCCTTGAATTTGTCTCCTTTTTATGTTTTAGTTTCCAAAGTAACTATTATCAGAGAGCTGCGGCATATTTGTAGTATCCATGGGTTGAAATGTCAAATATTCCACCAATTCTACTACGTCACTGCTTGCATTCTTCAGGGCGAATCATTGGAATTTAGAGCCCAATGAAATTTTGATGGAGTTGTAGAATCTCTTTCAGTCTGGGCCCAAAAAATTAAATCCATAAGATTCAGAAGTAAATCAACTCTCAGCGGATTTTATTTTTTAGGGTATCAGATCGTCTTTGATCAGGTCTCATATGCCTGACGATCATTTGTACCTGTAGTATTAAACATTACTTGATCAAGACACTCCGAACACTTTCAGTGAGACACCTACTATTTTTTTAAATGAAAACTTCATTATTATTTCAGGCCAAAATACGCTCTCCTCGACGAATGTACGTCGGCAGTTTCAATCGACGTAGAGAGCAACATGTACCAAACAGCCATCGATATGGGCATTACTTTATTGACAATCACACATAGACCAAGCTTATGGTAAGTTCCACCATATCCACAAACCTGAAAATTAACACACTTTTTTCTATAGGAAATTCCATACGCACATTTTACAATTTGACGGTCAAGGCTACTGGGAATTTTCCGAACTGAACTGTAGTTCGCGTTTAGATTTGAAAAAAGAAAAAGAAGAGCTATTGAAGAAACCCACAACCAAGGAAAGCACTGCCCGATTAAAGGAGATTAACAAACATTTGGGAGAGGATGATGAATAGGAGTTTTGTGTTTTATTCAATTGATTTTGCCATTCAGGATTTTACTTGCCAGTATCAAAAGGCGAATTTTTGAATGATTATATGTTTGCCAAGGAAATAAATTCACTCCATGCAAGTTAATTTCGATAGGTGTATTTTTCTTTGACTCACTTATAATTGACAAAAATTCGTGTGTGTGTCCTAATTTATTTCAATTCAATTGTTGTTCAGTCGCTTTTCCATTGTGAAGCTTATTTTTTTTTCACACTAACTACATAAGTTTGACAATTAGTTTACACGATAATATAAGCTTTATTTTTTATTTACATACTTTTTTTGAGTGATAAGCAAGCATCAGTGCGGCATTGTGATTTTAATTAAATGTTTAAGCTACATGAGTTAATATTTGTTTAGTGTGAAGTGAAGTGAAGGAAGAGATATATTGGTTGTCTGTATTTATCAAGGTATTTATTTATAAAAAAAAACTGTCCTTTAGTGGAGGCCGTTTTAATTAATTGTTTAGTGCATAGAAACAAAAATGAGATTATGAGCAAATATATGTTTTGTTTTTTTTTAAATGGATTGGAGTGTATTATGTAATGAGTCCGGAAAGAACTTGCACATATCTAATAGAACCTCTGAAGCATATTTTCTAACTTTCTTTCGATGCAGCCAATTCTCCCAGAAGTTAGAAAATCTCAACACTTTTCCCTATCCACAAATCAGGAGATAGCACTGATGTGAATAATTATAGAGGAATCCATTCTTACAGACGATGTGGATCATGCTTTAGTAACTAATACATTGCTAATGAACAGCATGATTTATGCAAGGGAAAATCCACTGTCCACCAACATTTCCTAACAAAAGCTTTGAAATCAGGAAAACAGGTGGACGTGATCTTCACGAACATTTCAAAGTCTTTTGATAATGTGTGCCATAAGTTGTTACTAAAAGACTCTCAGATATGAGCTTCGGTGCACGTTTCTTAAAATGTATAGAATCGTAGGTACTTAACAGAGAGATGTCAAAGAGATGGTGTGTGCGGTGCAGTATAGTATCCCACGAGTTCATAGTTCCATCCGGGAGATTTAGTGATTTAGCTTCCAGAATCTTTAGTTTATTTGTCTTAACTTCTTCTTGTTCTTCTGTTTTAAGTTTTAATTAAGAGGAAATCCGAAGAAATCTAAGGAAGGCAATCAGGGAAAGTCATAATCCTAAGGAGCTCAGGGAAAATGTTAAAGGAATCATGATAAATCTTGACACGCATGCAGTTTTCAAAAAAAATTCTAAAATAATCTGGTGTACAAAAACTGACATACAGGGGTAGACCACAAAGCAAATCTTGACCTTTCCATGATTTTTTTGTTTTTCTTTCCAGCTTCCCAAGAAAACTGATTTTTTTTATAATCTCAGATCTTGTCTTGTGTACCTATATAGGTACTTATTGATTTTCTCGCCATGAGATTCGATAATCTGGACCTTATCTTGTGACGTAGTTTCACCTCTTGACTGGTTCTAGGGACAAGCATTTTACACTGAATTGTGATGAAATTGATCAATGATCACCACGTATAACATCTTCCTGTTCTAATGGTTCATTTTTGGTCTTGTGAAAAGTAAATTTACGGTAAAAAGGCAAATTAGAGGAAATCATGTTAAACTTGCTTTGACTAATTTGGACTCGCTTTTTCGATTTAAAAAGTCAAAATTAGGAAAAAAAACCAAAAATGAAAATTTAATTTTTTATAATTTTTTCTAAGGCTACTACCCCCTTTGAAATTTTAATTTACAAATTTTCAAATCTCAATATTCCAGTACCCATTATTGTTATGGATTGTAGCGCTTGATAGGGGCTTTCAGATGGTATTTAGCTGAAACCATTAGTGCTTACGGTTTTCGAGAAAATAGAGTTTGAAGTTTTGGACAAAATCTAGAGTAAATTTCAACTTTGAACCTCGATATCTTGGAGACTTCGAAAGCTATAAAACTCAATTTTGAACGGCTTTATAGAGAATTTAATACTCTTTCTAATCTATATACACAGTGTGTAAAAAGTACCGGAACAGTCAATTATTTTAAAAATAGTGCACAATATAAAAAAACTTCCTGTATAAAAGTTGAAGGTCTTGATAAAATCTATTGAAATAGGACTTATGTAATTATACAGGGTGGCCCAAAAAGTTGTGCTACACAAAACTTCATTTTTTTTTAATGGAATGATCCTTTTTTAATTACATTTTCTAATTCTTCTAGAGATTCTAAACAACAATTATGAAAGATATCATATGGCTAAACCCATTAGTTTCAGAAATAATTTGACTTGAAGGACATAAATACGATAAGTACGATATTACCTACATTTTGCATTGTTTCGAGTTGGTTCAAAATGGTAACCAGACCTAACGCCCCTTGATTATTTTCTTTGGGGACATCTGAAAAATAAAGTGTTTGTGACAAAACCTCCAGATCTGAACGAATTGAGAAGAAGAATTATTGAAGGATGTGCATCTATTAACTAAGAAATATTACAAAACGTCATCAATAAATTTTATTATAACCTAGCCCATTGTCAAATTGTGGCAGGAGGACATTTTCAGCATTTAATAAAATAACGTCTTACACTTAATTTTATTTCTGTTCTTTCAAAGTTATTGTTGATTTTACTTTACTGCTTGTATTTAATAATTTAGTTATTAATAAAATTTTGACTAAACTTGAGTGAGGTACATTTCATTTAACACAAGTTAAATGTTTTTTTTTTTCAGGATTTAACGTGAAACATTTTGAAGCAACTCGAAACAATGCAAAATGTAGGTAATATCGTACTTATCGTATTTATGTCCTTCAACTCAAATTATTTCTGAAACTAATGGGTTTAACCATATGACATGTTTCATAATTGTTGTTAAGAATCTCTAGAGGAATTATAAAAGGTAATTAAAAAAGGATCATTTCATTGAAAAAAATGAAGTTTTGTGTAGCACAACTTTTTGGGCCACCCTGTATAATTACAAAAGTCCTATTTCAATAGATTTTATTAAGACCTTCAACTTTTATACAGGACGTTTTTTTATATTGTGCACCAGTTTCGAAATAATTGACTGTTCCGGGACTTTTTACACACTGTGTATATAAAAATTAATGCCACTTTTCGTTGTAATTTTATAACTCAAGAACGGGCTCACCTAGCCAAACCAAATGTTTAGGCTTTGTTCGGACTATTTATTAGATGGTTTATGTGAAGTTTGCACAAAATCGGTCGAGCGGTTCTTTATTTATCACATTTTTTGTACTAAATGAATTATTCAATAAATGAAGGATCATTTTGTTAATGGGGATTTTGCTGTCAAATTGAAACTTTTTTCAGCGTTGACAGTACCAGCATGTTGTTATGTCATTAATGTGGTCATTCACAGCCTCCTATACTTAACAAGCCATGAAGTTGGAAATGACGGCAACGTCGCGTATGGTGCTATTTTGTTATTGGGTTATATGTTTCTGTGTATTGCTTTCATTGTGTATTGTTGCAGTTTAGTATTTTTGTGGGCATTATTGACGAAAAAGTGGATAGAAACACACCAATATATTGCCCATATTTAGTTGATACCTGTTCCTTTATGCTTTGATTGCAAATTTTTAGCAAATGGGTACAGAAGCAAAAATGAAGGTAAGGTAAGGTAAAACAATAAAAACAATATTAAATATTTGTCTGCAAGAGCATAGGTCTCGATATATTACCTAAGATATTTAAACTTGTTCCAGATGCCATGAAACTACTGTGTTCCTGGGTGCAAATCGAACTATTAGGAGTTCCTTAAAAACTGAAGAAATGCAAACATTTTCATTTCCAAAAAAATTCTGAATTGCAAAAAATGTGGATGAAAGCAATTCACCAAGATAATTATACCCGAGATTATACAATAACGAAAAATTCTGTGGTGTGTTGTAAACATTTTGAAGAAACCGAAATAATTAGATTTGAAACAAACAAGGATAAAGGCGTAGTTCGAGAGTTCAAACTAAAACGTCCAACTCTTAAAAGTAGGTACCTCTTATTTTCGAAAATCAGCTCAAGTATTTGAATGGACCTGCCTTCCGAAAAAATCCCGAAGAAAGAAAAATTTAGATTTTCAAAAGACATACTGAAATATAGGCCTATAACACTTTAGACCCTAGAAATATATTCATTTAAATCAATTATTTACTGTTCTTATTTACACAAATAGTTATATTATTCATTGAATTAATGTTTTTGGCCTTTAGTACAATAAATTATGCATTTTTTGTGATTCATATTAATAAAATAAAAAATATATATTCGTAAAAACAAACACCACCAGCACCACTTGGCGGTAAGATTGCGGTGTTGCCTTTTTAACTTCATGGCTTGTTAAATATAGGAGGTTGTGGGTCATTTCATTTATGAATATATATAGATATATTCATATTTAAAAGTAGCAAGAGGTAGGGCACAAAATGGCGGCGGGAGCTTTATTATTAGCATTGTATTAGTAACTGTTGTAATACCATTTGCACTGTAATACCATTTCGTATATGACGCCATCTATGATAAGTGATAGAAACTTTCATTTAGTTTTTGATCCCAAAAAGGCTGGGTACAAATTTGCGAATATTGTGATGGGTTAGGTTTATGTTATTTTATTAGGCAATCCAAATCACGTGATTCAATATGGCAGTGCAGGCCGCCATTATTTTGTTTACATTTGATGAATTAATATGAATTTTCGAATCAGTGGTTATTCACGATTCAGATGTTTTTTTTTTTGTTGTCTCCACATTCTTTGAACATTTCTGTGCCTGAGTTTATTTATTTGGTGGTACACTTTACAAGAATAATGCCCACAAGGTGCCTAAAAAGGGATGATGTAAAATTTTAATTTTAGGTGATTTCTGAAACGTTAACACAACATTTAATAGATATTTAATAATTCAAAGGCGGTACGAAGTTCGCCAGGTCAGCTAGTGATGTATATTTGTAAGTAATTTTCTCGAAAGTCATGGAAGATATGGACCATTATTCATGAGTGTGTCAAGATCTCAAAAAATTTCCAGAGCTGAAAATGAGATTTACTTTTGGATTTTTTTTCTCATCAAAATTGTCAAATGTAACTGATCTAAGAGTTATTGCTGACTAATTTGGACTCGCTTTGTCGATTTTTGAAGTCAGAATTAAAAGAAAAATCCCAAAATAAAAAAAATCAATCTTTTTAATTTCCAAATCTTCACAAACCTCAATCTCGGTAACCAAGAGCGGTACTGGGACGAAATTTTCGGGGACTGTAGCTCTTCATAAGAGCTTTCAGACTGTATTTAGCTGAAATCGCTAGCGTTTACGGTTTTCGAGAAAGTCGAATTTGAAGTTTTGGACAAAATCTAGACTAAATTCCAAATTTGAACCTCGATATCTTGGAGACTTCGAAAGCTACGCTACACTGAGAGAATTAATTTTAGACCATTATAAAAATCTTAATAACCTTAATAAAAATATCGTATAAAATGGGGGACAGAAAAGCGCTGTAGTTACCATTATAAAAGTCACTTTATAAACTACTACTTTGCTACCATTGATACACCAATTTACTGAAATCGCCTAAAGACCATTAAAAATTTATAAATAAGTCACAATAAAATAGTTTTGAATGGGTGAAAAACGATTTTTTAACTGTCAATAAATATTTGATGATGGTTATTAAATTGTATATTAACCCTTAATATATCTTATAGGGGATAATATAAACATTTTAATAATAACAGATGAATATCTTTATACCATTAATATTTTTTTTTTGACCACCAAAAATTCCTTTTATAATCATAACAAGATAACCTTATAAGGCCCAGTTATACAATCTTGGTTAAAAACAGAGTTCAGCTGAACTCGACTGGTACTTAAACTTCTCCATTTAAAATACATTGCTGGCAGCTTTTAATCAAATTCTAGCTATTTTTGACAGCAATGCATTTCAAATGGGGAAGTTCAAGTACCAGTCGAGTTCAGCTGAACTCTGTCTTGAACCAAGATTGTACAACTGGGCCTAAGGGTTATTAAAAATGTTATGGTACTATTATATTGCATTTGGAAAGAGGTAAAAATAAAAGACAATAGGTATTTTTTTAATCAAACTTTTATTAATTGTTGATGTCTACATATTATTATGGTGACATTAAAAAAAATAGAAGCTGTATCTACAGTAATCACATAAACTAACAAAATTTCGAATCGTATATGTATACCTACATAACTACTTAAGTATACCTATAATATGAAAAATACTACTTGGAAAAAGCAAAAGTAGGTAATAAGAGAGTTTTCATTTTTAATTTATATTTTCTCGAAAAGGACAATTGTTTTTCAAAAAAAAAAATAATGCAGAAAATCCTAGCTTCAGTTGCTTTGTGCAATAATTATTCCAAATCTGAAAATTAATGAAAGCATTGAGGGGGTTATATTTATACCTACTCATAACTTACCTTCGATAAATGACTGTAATCCCCACTCTAGAAGGGCAACTTCACACGCCATTGTCAGACCAGTGCCAGTGTAGATCCAAAATCCAAGGTTATAAATGATAAATAATTCAAAATGATTTAAATAATTCACCAACGCAACGCACTAACTAATCAACGCTTACTGCAAAAAATGGCGCGACACGACACAAACACCTGATCACAAATGAGCGGGCTCGCTACATGCTTGCACGGAAGCAATGCACAGAAAAATTACAAAATAAACCATTATGGCCGCTTCGGGTTGTTTCGCGAATAGCCGAAGCCATTAACGGCCCGCTTAAGTTTATTATGGCTATAACGCACATTTTAAAGACTGAAAATCAACTTATAGTCGTTAAAAAACGTATATCGATGGTTATGAAGATCAATTTTAAAGATCGTGTGTAGTAACCATATTAAAGTATCTAGCTATACTGTAGTAAATTCGTATGAAGAAATTTGAATACAATACATCAGTAAATTAAATTTTCAACAAGAGTAAAGTATTTTATAGGAGCTCATAGATAACTAGGTGATAATGAGGATAATTCAACAAAGAATTTTTAGCAACCATAAAAATACGTTATTCAGTAATTTATAGCAGTTATTAAAGATATTTTGTCTGCAATAAAGAAAATTCCAGTAAGACAATTTAAGAATTCAATTTCCTCAGTGTACAAAACTCAATTTTGAACGGCTTTATCGAGAATTTAATACTCTTCCAAATGATGTATAATTGTAAGTAATTTTCTCGAAAGTCATGGAAGATATAGGCAATTATTCATGAGCGTGTCAAGATCTCAAGATTTTTCATCAAAATTGTCGAATGTAACTGATCAAAGAGTTGTTGCTGACTAATTTGGACTGGCTTTATTGATTTCTGAAGTCAGAATTGAGAAAAATTCAAAAATAAAAATATTTACCTAATTTTTTGCAGTTTTTTTCTAAGGCTACCTTCTTTGGATTTTAATTTTCAAATCTTCAAGCTTACTATACGCTGACGACTTTTTCGTAGTTGTAGACAGGCATTCTACCTCTCTCCAGCCAGATTTGGACAGGTTGGTCGCTCGGTGCAACTCAAATCTTCTCAAATTCAATGTTACTAAGTGCAAGCACATGATTTTTCACATGAACTGAATCCTATACTGCCCACATACACCATCAACAACGCCAATCTGGGAACAGCAGTTAACACCTAGAAGTCACCTTTGGAAAAGACCTCTGTCTTCCAACAGACACACCGACAACATAGTCATAAAAAGTTCTAGAGTTCTAAGTTTTATCAAAAGAATTAAACACCAGAGACATAATGATAAGAAGTCCATTATCTGTCTATATTTCAGTCTCATTCGATCCACACTTGAACACAGCCCAATTTGTACTCCAAGTTATGTGTGCCACATTAGAAAGATAGAATTAGGAATGCATAATTGATTCACCAAATATTTGCTCTACAAACTGAGATTCCTTACCAGAACCTTGAGTCACGAGTATGAGACTCGTCTACAGCTCTGTGGCATACTCAGCCTTCAAAAACGACGCAAAAATGCCCAGCTTATATTACTCTATAAAATTCTGATGAACATTATTAACTCACCCGACAGAAATTGTATTTCTGGTTCCTGGAAGAAGAAATCGACAGAGGCAGCTTTTTTTCCAAGTTGTGCATAGAACTGACTATGGTCTGAATTACATCATGACGTGTCTACTTACTTATTACAATCAGGACTCCTCCTACATAGATCTTTTCGATACCGCTCTGTATGTGGTAAAAAAAGAAATCAGTATACAATTACAACGGCTGTACCTACCTTTATATATTCAGTAAGCATTTTGATGGCTTCTTTCAGGAAAAAGTGTTTGGATTTTCTGTTACCTAGATCGAAACGTAACTAGAATATGTACAGGATCGAGCAGCAGCGAATAAACTCACAATTCATTTATTTGACAAACAGATTTTTAACCATAAGTTTCTGGCCCTGAAGCTGGCACAGAACACTATTGAAAAGTTGGCTTGGTTGATTCGAATTTCTCAGGACAAATAAAAAACTAAGACGCAAATCCATAATTTTGCAAAACCTTTATTGTAAAATAACTCTTAAATTAAAATAGAGACGTAAATAATTATAATAATAAAGTAAGTAAGGTACAATAACAACAGATTTATTGGACAAACGCTAAAAAAAAATTATTATAAAAAAATGCCTTTAAAATTCAGACCTTAAAAAGCCAGTCTTGAAAGTTAAGTACATTTTTGGTTATAGAACCTAAATTAATAATAATAGCATAGGGCCAAGAAAAATAAGGACACTAAAATAATTGAGACTGAAAACCTTCTAGATTTTAATATAAATATAACTTTTTTTATAGGTAATTTAACATAAAATCTTAGTTTAAAAATAAACTATCCAAGATGGCCTTTAGAATGATGATATTGCACCAAGAATGACATCACCAATCTTTCGACAGCAAGAGAGGCCAGATCTTTATATTGATGTAGACCTAAATTATTCGAGTTAAATTGACTAAATTCGAAACTTTTGATTAAACATGGCCACTGCGCCATATTTCCATAATTTACTTATTCAAAATTTCAGCCATTGGACTTTTAGTAACTTTCAATCCTTCGCAATATAAGTATTAATTTTATTGTCAACATAAAACATACAATTTTCTAGTTATAAAAGTAGGTGGGAATGGATATATGTATTATTGAATCTACACTAAAAATGATACTCAATAAAATTTGAAACAAATAACATTCAGTGCTTGATAATTAATTTGTAGTGCAACTTAGATATTCGAAGATATTTGCTAAGTACAGGGTATCATAATCATAATTTATTGCACAATTAATGCCATTCTCTGTATAATACTCTTAAATCTAAATGCTAAATATTATCGACATAGAATATCACAACTTGTGATTATTAATAATTCTCTTCACATAATTCACAGTTACGTTAGATTCTAGACTATACTCTTTCTAGATTATCCGAGCATTCGTTTTGGGCTTGTTGACAAAGTTTTATCTTCGGCCCAAAACTAATATCATAATAAAACAAACTAAATTTGTCTTCTTCGCTTTTTTTTTTTGTTTGCTCTAGAAAAATGAGAGCTACCAATGTTTCTTTTCATAAGAACGTGACCTATTTAAATAGGCAAACAGGTACCTATAGAGATTCTCAAAGAAAATACAATTTTTCCTTTGATAATGATAGGATTTTTAAACATAAAAATACTGTCACATCTTCCACTTCCTATACATACTTCTTCAGACAGGATGTTGCCAGGTACCCATTTCAAATAGGTAACTATCAAATGAAAAAGAAGTTGTTTTTTTTTTAGATGATAGGGTTTTCTGTAATAAAACAGAAAACCTAGTACACTCCTTGAATGTTGTTCAGGTCCACATTCAGTCTAGTGAAAGGCATTCCACCTTTCTCTTGATCTGCATGTTGCAGGACAAACGTTCTTTCAGTTGGAAGTAGGCAGAGAGTCTGGAACATCCGTATTCCTGGAAAATAGAGAACAAACTACGTATTGAAATTTGGCATTCAAATTACCAGGTCAAATCCAATTTAAAATGGTTCTATATTCGGTTCTACAACTATACATTTGAACAAACCTTATCACTTTTCAAAGAGGAGCTTATTAGTTAGGTACTGTTTTTTGATTGTATTGAATATACAGGGTTGTCGTTATGTATGGAAACTGTCTAATATTTCAGAACGCGCTTCAGTAAAATGTACCATATCTCCTGAGGGTTTTCGAGAATGCCCGATTCAATTATGGTATTTGAAATGTTGCCAAGTTTACTGTTTCTAAGATTCCGTATAAATGAAAGTGCCCCTTCATTTATATTGTAATGTATAAAATATTTCCTACCTGGCCTTATTACCAGCCCCCCTATAAATCTTGAATACACATTATCACATTTTTCCAGTTCCGAAATGCGAGATTCTTTCCATACATTTCAACAACTGGGGGTCCTTCATGCAAAGATATAAAGAGAAGATCAAAAACTCAACTCAGAATTGATTTCAGCAATATAAGAGGAATAAGTACAAATATGAATTCAGTTCACCAACATCTTGAAGAACAAAGACCTGACATCCTTGTTCTCACTGAAACTAAAATTAGTTCTGCAACACCTATTGTGAACTATCTTTATCCCGGCTATGACCTACACCACCGATTTCGACATAATTTTGGGATCTGTGTGTACATTAAAAATGACCTTTCATGTCATCGAGAGGAGAAGCTAGAACCAGCGAACCTTGATATCATATGGCTAAAATTCACCTCAAAGTCATCGACCAAGTTTATCTGCTGCCTCTACCGACCGCCATCTAACACCGAGTACCAAAACTTTTTCGCGACATTATCCGAAAGCTGTGATAGTATACAGTCAAACTATCCACAGGCGGAAATTGTCTTTTTAGGCGATTTCAACGTCCACAATATACCCTGGCTGAAACACCACAACAAAACAGATAACGAAGGCAGAGAAGCAGAAGCTTTTGCCATAAGTTGTGGTCTAACGCAGCTTGTCGATGAACCTACCCGTATCTCAGAAAGGGGCGAATTTGCAGCGCTTTTAGACTTGTTCCTAACCACAAATCCTGACTCGTACACAATTCAAGTAGATGCTCCACTTGGTTCGTCCGATCATAGACTTATAATAACAAAGTGCGAAATGCTCATCCCACCAAGCCAACAACCACTTCCTCGTAAAATGTGGCACTATAAATCGGCAAAATGGAATGACCTAAAACAGTTTTACCTGGATTTTCCATGGCAAGAGGTTTGCTTTAAAACAGCTGATCCCACTATTTGCTGTAATGAAATAACACAAGTAATGTTATCTGGAATGGATGCATATATCCCACATACAACTAAACGTAGAGCTAATGCAAAACCTTGGTTCAACAGCCAGTGTCAAACGGCTGTACAGAAAAAACACAGAGCATATAACCTTTGGAAACGACAACAAACCGCTCAAAACCACACAGAATTTATAGAAGCCAGAAATAGTTGCAAAATTACTATTGACTCCGCTAAAGAAACATACAATCAAAGAATAAAAAACAGGTTGCTGAATTGTCCAAGTAGTTCTAGGTCCTTTTGGTCTCTTGCAAAAGCTGTTGGATCTAACTTCACCAAGTCATCCATACCACCACTTACAGATAAAAATAATCACTTAGCCACAACATCAGAGGAAAAAGCCAATATGCTGGCCCAAATGTTTTCCTCCAACTCCAACCTAACAGTGCCAAACGGAAAAACTCCACCGTTCATTGAAAGGGTTTCCCATAGTATTCCAGAGGTACCCTTTTGTCACAGAGAAATACGAAAATCCCTTAAAAAGCTAGATACAAACAAAGCAATGGGTCCGGATGGCATTCCCGCAATAGTACTCAAAAATTGCGCCAACGAACTCACCCCAACTTTCGCAAAATTATTCAATTTGTCTTACAGGCAAGGAGTATATCCATCATCATGGAAGTCTGCCGCAGTACAACCCATTCCAAAGAAAGGAAAAAAGACAGATCCGTTAAACTATAGACCAATTGCTCTACTTCCGGTGATATCAAAAGTAATGGAAAGAGTTGTGAACAATCACCTAACCAAGTACTTGGAAAAGTACAAAATTATCAACGATAAGCAATACGGATTTAGAAAATATAGGTCAACTGGCGATTTACTTACATACGTCACTCACTTATGGCAAAAAGCGATTGAGTTGCGGGGTGAAACAAGAACAATTGCCTTAGATATATCTAAAGCATTCGACAAAGTTTGGCATGAAAATCTGCTCAACAAGCTCAACGCAATGGGATTATCGCCGAAACTTTGCACTTGGTTTGAAAGTTACCTAAAGGACAGATCCATTTATGTTGCACTGGATGGACAGAACTCCAACTCTTACCAAATAAATGCTGGTGTGCCACAGGGAGCAATCCTTTCGCCAACTCTTTTTCTGATTTACATAAATGACCTCATAGATAAAACAGTAAATCCACTTTATTGCTTTGCAGACGATGGCAATGTAGTCTCCTCACTCATACCACCCACAGGTCTTTCCGCACGTGAATTCCATCATCTTAGACTAACTCAAATATCGCAGATAAATAACGACCTGGAGATAATAGAGGACTGGGGTCACAAAAACCTTGTACAGTTCAACGCGCAGAAAACCCAAGCAGCTCTATTTTCAAAAAAGACCAGCACCGGTGAGCCAAACATCATGCTATCTGGAAGTGCTGTCACATTACAGAGTCAGTTGAACATCTTGGGGGTTACTGCAGAGACCAACATGTCTTGGCACAGTCACGTGGCAGATATTGCTAAAAGGGCGTCCCAAAAGCTGGGGGTGCTATTTCGTACAAGATATCTGTACACACCAAGCCAATTGCTGACACTCTACAAAGCCCAGATTCGACCAACTATGGAGTACTGCTCACATATATGGAGTGCAGCACCCAAACATACCTTAATGCTTTTGAACACCGTGCAAAAACGAGCTATCAAGCTGATCAATAACCCCGCACTTACTCGTAACTTGGATGGTCTCGAACATCGCAGATCTGTGGGCGATTTATCTCTCTTCTACAGGTACTATCACGGAAAATGCTCTGAAGAGTTGGCACGTATGATTCCACCGAGAGTAGCGCCTACCAGGCGAACCCGTCAAACAGACGGTAACCATGAATTTACTGTCAAACTAGAGGCACCAAGAACCTCATTATATCAGAATTCATATCTCTGGAGAACAGCATCGCTGTGGAATAAACTCCCTGCGACGGTTTTCCCTGCAGGTTACAACCTGAACCGTTTCAAGACCAACATACACCGACATTTCCGCGCACTTGCCGCTTCTCGAGCGTGATAGGACATTTCCTTGCGAGAGCGCATATCCGTAAAAAAAAAAAAAAAAAAAAAAAAAACAAGCTTTGTCTTTTCATTAACTTCGCCAAAAGCACTGCCGAACAGAGTTCTAACCTAGGCAATATTGTTTTCATTTTTACAGGGGCTACCTTGGATTTGGCTGTCACTAACGTGATTTTGAAATTATTAATCGAGTCGTTTACTTTGATGTAAATTACTGCGCCGTATGTCTTTTCTGAGGCATCGCAAAGAGTAATTTGATTTGTTCTACATTTCCTTCCCACTTGACCTGGATTTGTTCTGACACTGGGTCGTCCCATTTCAACTGTTGCACCCAAAGTTCTTGGATTAATAGTTTTGCCTTAATGACTACGGGTGCTAGCCATACTAATTCCTAATGAATCAAACAATTTGGCTACTCCTGATAAAATGGTTCTTTTAGCTATTTCGCTGTTCATTGATATTTCTATTTTAAAACTGAACGTATCATCATGCGGAGCCCAGCGTATTCCAACAGATTTTCTTGTGTGATAGAAACTATCAAGTCCAAAACAGAATCAACCAATACAAGATAAAACAGTCCAGAAACGGAAGTGACAATATCCGAGCTTATGGAAAGAGAAAAAAGGGCAAGTAAATAACATTCTTATTTTTGGAATGGACGAATCTAAAGCCCAAAACTATGGAGACAGAAACAAGAAAGAACTTGAAACTGTCTAGCAACTAATTGGAAACATCGGGGCTCAAGCCACTTTGGGAGAAATCAGAGTTTTAAGACTTGGTAAGTTTGACCAAATTAGAAAAAGGCCAATTAAAGTCTACTTGGCAACAAAAACTGAAGTGATAAATATTCTCATGCTAAAATCTAAGTTAGAAGGAACATGACAGTATATCAAGGCTAACCTTACTTCAGTACAGAGAGAACATATAAAGCACCTCCTTAGCGAACTGGAAACCCGAAAACCAAATGAACCAAATCTTAAACTAAAATACATCGGTGGAGTGCCAAAGCTTATTGCAAGTAAAGTTAACCACAAACCTGACAAAAAAAACTAAGAAGTCCGCTTACAGACATAACATTCTATTACACAAAGATTTCATTCATTCGTCCCAAACTACAAGAAATCCATGCACTGATTGCCAAAGAAAAACCAACGTTCCTACTAATTACGAAGACATGGCTCAACAAAAATATACCAGACACTTTGATCTCTATGCCGGGATACAAACTGCTTAGGCTTGACAGGAGCCTACAGGACGGCGGAGGCGTATGCGTATATGCAGCATCCGAAACAAACGGTTTCAAAATTAAGACCACCTTAACACTAAATACATAATAAATGGAACTGTGGACGCTTTGTTTTTGGATGTAAAAATATCAGATAAAAACCTTCTATTGGGATGTATCTATAGACCAGGAAGAACCACCAACGAAGAAAAGACACTTCTTCACAATCTACTACACAAAGTGTTTGAGGAGAATGACGAAAATGTTTGTGAACGGCGATTTCAACCACCCAGAGATTTGTTGGAGATCTCTAAGATTGAATAAACCATGTCAAAAAGCCATCGATTTTATAACGTGTTATAAAGAATGGCGATTTCATCAAGTTGTAACCTTTGATA